AACTATAGAAACAATGGCTTAATTGCAGTTAAGGTAATGATGTAAAATTTATATATTTTTTTTTAATTTTAATCATTATCTATTTATTCTTTTTAAAAAGTATTATAAAGACAGGATGAAATAAAATATCATACGATACACGTCCGTTAAGTGTTATTACAGTACTCGTTTATATACAACTCATACTGTAATAAGTCACCTACCGGACTTGTAAGGTAAAATACTATTACAGTCTTTTCATTATTCGACCTCTCTTTCGATTATGCCTTATAAGTAGGCATTAGCAGGTAACCCATTAATAGAGGTAGGGTCGCAACTGTCTCACTTATATTTATCACTATCAGGAAAATCAAGAAAGGGCCTCAAATGTATCGAGGAAGCAAATGTACGGGGGAGCATCTGTCCCGAATTCTCATTTATAATCTTAACGTTACTGGTAGTATTTAGTTTTTTCTAAATCGTGTAAATTAATAAAAAAATGCAATTGTTCTGCATTTAATAAGGCTTTCAGTAGTTGCTGAAAGTTGTTAAAGTGTTAAATAAGAATTACATTTCTATTAAAACTATTAACTACTGGTTAATTCTAATAGGTGATAGTTAGCTTCTTCAAATTACTTATTAGACAAATGTCATTTTTAATAAAAATAGCAAGTTGAAAAACAAAAGAGCAAAATGAAGAATAAAAAAAGATGTTGCTCGACCAACTAAAGGAGCTTCCAATCAAGTTATTATTCATTATGAATATTAATTATATCTGTAAATTTTAATGATTTAAGCTTAAATTTTAATATTGTAAAGAATGAATAAATATACAGGGTGTTAGTACATTTGACCGACAATGCTGTACCAAGGAGAGCTCTAGCTAATAGACGATTATAATACAGGTACGTAAACCCTTAAAGAGCTTAGTTACGGAGAAAATTTAGAAATGATTTTCACAAATGATCTAAATACATGAAGACTTTTGTTCAAAAAAAAAATTTATGCAACAATGTTTACTTTAACTTCATAAAATGTTCTTCCTTTTTTAACTATAAAAGAACAAGAATTAAACAAAAAAATGTTTGTTCACCAAATTTGAAATAAATATATAAAGCCGTTTTTGACTTATGGCAAATGTTAAATTTTGATTTCAAACTTTTAACACCCTGTATCTCGGTTACTAAAATATTTATGGGTCCATGTTTCTATATTAAAATTCATCAATTAACGAGAGTTTTCTAGCGTAAAGCGTTATCGGGTGAATATTCTAACACCCTGTATGAACAAAAAGGGAGGATCTTTAATACTGAAAGGGCAATTAGGAATTTATTTTCATTAGGATTATTAAAATGTTTTCTGTAGGCAAAAGTAAAAGAGTATTTTTGCGTCGAGAATGCACCTGCTGAACATGTAAACATTTTGATTTTAGTTTACCATTATCATATTATATTTGTTATGTATTAGGTATTTTTCTACTCCTATACTATAAGTTGTTAATTAAATGCTAATTTTCAGTTTTATAATGATACTCATTATAAAACTAAAAAATTGACCAATACAAATCTAGATTTTTAAATAAACAAGTAGGTAGACCCAATATTTTCTGTAGAATGTTTGACAGTTTCTAAGAAATTCGTGTTTTATGATAGTTTTAATCTTTTGCGTTAGTCCAAAAGATAGATAGGTAACTCTCACTTATTTTTAGGAAAATTTGAGCAACGAATAGTTTTCATGCACACCACCTGAAATCGCTGAAAAGGCGAAAAATGTATCATGATAATTATTATAATGGTTAATGTGTAGGGATAAAAATTAAGTCGAAGAACTTATTTTTCTTTTACATTTTATTTCTTAGTGTTTGCATAAAAAAAGTATTAAAAAATAAAGTAATGTTGTTGAATTGAAATAGTTCCTTGGTCGTAGAAAAAATAGTGTATGTAAGTCTCATGTAATAACTAATAATACATTTGCTTAAGATTTACGACACTCGCCTTCGACTCGTGTCGTAACTAACCTCAAGGTCGTGTAATAATAGCTATCATTACATGATCGTTGCATAATGTACTATTATTAAATTTAATAAGCAATATTGTTTATATCAATACCAAAAATATTTTGAGCTGTGTATAGTTAGACCGATTTAGTTTAAAGCATTAACATAAACATTTACATAATAGTTAATTAAATTCAATACATTTTAATGTATCTCTTTATACAGAATAACATAAGCATAAACAATAATATAAAGATAGTGAAGGTAAATAAAATCTAACTTATTGCTTAAATTTATGTCAAAAATGCAATTAGGCATGTTCGTTTAAAAAGTAAGGTTAAAATATTGTTCTAACTTTAAACATTCAAACTTCTAAACTCTTTCCTACATCTTTTTACTTATCTGTATTCGCTTCGTGCGTGTCAGCAGCGTCAATTCATTTTTGTTCTAATGGACTGTTTTTGTCTATATTGACAATACAATTTTTAATAGAATTCATAATTAAAAGTATATGGGTTTGTAAACCAATTAAAACATTAATTTATTATTATTATATATTTTTATCGCTTAAACTAAAAAAAATTAAGTATATTCAATCAAAATCAATAATCAAACAGTATTTACGGGAAAATGTATGAGAAGTTGCCTATGTCTAATAAGTTGTCTTTGAAGAATTAACCTACTCTGCCAAAATAAAAAATATCTCTAAATAATTAGCGCGAAGTTAAAATGTATAAACAGAAGGATTGTTATTTTTATTTTTAATTTTGTTCGAAAGAAAACAGTCAAATTTAAAACTTAAGCTTTATTCCGGACTGCGGTGAACTACTGATTAGAGTTTAGTTACAGTCTGAACATCCGGGGCGTACTTTATAGGAAGTCATTTTTATATTTTATTGAATATAATATCTGTTATTTACGTTAAAAGAAGAAAATTCTTTAAATATAAGTTACGTATAATAGTATTCTCTATAATTTTTGCTCTATACAAACTTTTCCTAAAATGATCCGTATCCAAAAAATTTGACAAAAGGCAAAAAATTCAAATTTTTAAGAAAATTGTATTATTAAAAATTATTTGTAATATAATTCTACATAATTAAATACATAATTTCTCTAAAATGGACCGTATTCGAGATATTTGAGAAAATGTGTAAATTTGGAAAAGACCTTAGATTTTAAACTTAAGCTTAATTCCGGCTTGTGATGAAATGATTAGATTTACTTTACTATTTACTTCATAGGAGGTCGTTTTTATATTTTATGAAATATATCTGTTATTTATGTTTAAAGAAGAAAATTATTAAAATAAAAGTTACTTCTTATATTATCATTTATAATTTTTGTTCTATATAAAATTTTCCCAAAATGGTCCGTATTCGAGAAATTTTACAAAATGTAAAAATTCGATTTTTAAAAAAATGTATTATCAAATGTTGTTTGCGATATGATTTTCTATAATTTTTGTCTTATACACAATTTTTCTAAAATGGACCGTATTCGAGATATTTAAGAAAGAGTGCAAATTTCGAATTTTGAAAAAAACTCAAAGACCGATATAGAAAAAAATATTTAATTTTAAACTCGAGATTTATTCCGGCTTGTGGTGAATGAATTATATTTTGGGCAGAGTCGGAACACCTGGGGGGGATACTTTATCGAAGGTCGTTTTCATATCGGTACGGTGGTGTAGCGGTCTAACGCGCTTATATATTAATTTATAGGCAAGTTTACGAGTCAGAGACTGCTGGGCTTCGAATCCCAGACCGCACCATGTGGATTTTAAATTAAATTGCACGGTTCTGTTTAGGATTTGATGTGTGGCGTAATAATAGAAATTCAATTTCTGTTGATATGACACGCAGATTAAAAAAATTCGCCATACATTACCGTCTCGATGATGGTGGGTGAGGTTTTCCGTTTTTTCCTCACCTGTAAGTCAAATGGCACCATCAACCATCTTTAAGTCGCCCCGGAGCGCCACGGCAAATAATAATAATAGCCGTCCCTTCCCATACACAAGTCGTTCAATCGACTTCAGGGGTTGAAATTCACTCGTAAGGGGGTGAATTAGGGAGAGTATTTTTATTCTATTATTATTTTTTATAATTCTTGTTTCATACACACTTTTCTTGAAATGGTCCGTAATCGAGAAGTTGGACAAAATGTGCAAAATTATGATTTTTAAGAAAATTGTTGAACTAAAAGTTGTTTGCGATATCGGTCTCTACAATTTTTGTGTTTTACATGATTTCTTTAAAATGCACCGTAATGAAAAATTGGAGGAAAGTTTAAAATTTAAATTTTTCAGTATTTTCATTTTCAGTGAATATATATATTAAAAATTTCGAGTTAAATGTATGTGGAAAATGTAAATATTTAGTATATCCTTTAAACATTTACAGAGGTTTTACAAAATAACCGAAAAAAGCCTGTAATAACTAGATAGAAAAGTCAAGTGTTGGACACATAAGATTTTTTTTAAAAGTAATTGTAAGATAGCAGAACAATTTCAAAACCAGTTTCAATTTTTAATTATTTGTCAAATATTATGCTAATTTAATTTTCTGTATAAACGATTTTAAAATCCTTAAATTTATGTTTATGTTAATGTCTATACTAATGTTTAATACAAAATTAGACTGACTAAACGCACTTTCAAAATCTAGAAATAGTTTTATCGAGTTTTATTTTAAAACATATTTGGTTACTTTTTAACTTGCTATTTTTCTCAAGATACCTATTCCGGGTATTATGAAGTATAATAAATCTAACTTTAATAATCATAATTATTAAAATACATCTTTCAATTTTCTTTATTGGTGATGGTTAAGCGAAACACTCTGTATATTTGAGATATAATCAATTTCAACATTAATACAGCTAAGTACATTATAGAAGAAATACTCGTAAGAAGCTGTTAATCTATTATCTATAGATGTTCGAATAAACCGGAAATAAATTAATAAACATACAATTAGTTTACTATTTTCAAATGCAATTAAAATAATAGGTAAATACTTACCAAATTTGTAAACAATAAATATATAAAGTACAATTTTTAATAAAATAATCACAGTACTATCAATATCACAACATATTTTAAATGTAAATAAAATAAAAATGTTATAAATTACTTTTTGTCATATATAAAGATGGGACAAACGTTTCATATAAAGGTGATAGAGATGGGAAATTTATCAAAGGTAATACGACGAGTCCTCCAAATTTTATCAATTAAATTTTTAGTTTCTACAAAAACGTCTTTATTTGAAAAAACCACGGAAACAAAGCGATTGATAAAATCACTTTGTTTGAATGGTTTTGCCTGAAATAAAGACGGTTGAGTATGGAAAAACAAAATTTAATATATTAAATTTAGAAGGACGAGTAGTAATTGAAAAGATTATTTTTTGAATCATTTTGTATAAAAAAGAGACAATAAATATATTTGGAGTGGACAGTAATCCTCTAAAAGCTTTAATTTGTTAAACATACAGGGTAGCTGTTAAAGATGGAACCAAACCTATAGTGCTTAAACGGTTCAACATACAAAACCCAAAATCTCAGAATTTCAACTAAATATATTTGCGCATATTTTAGCGCAAAAATAAGTTTTTTTATAATTACAAAATTTTAAGCATGGCCGCCATCTTGACTTTTTTAAATAGCAACATAGGTCATGTGATATACCATTTGAAAGGGTTTAACACCCTGATTAGAAAAATGTATCACACATGGGGTCTAAACACAACAGAAAGGATATTATTAATAGGGGGCATAGGAGGCTGTGCATTTGAGACAAGACGTCAAATATTATAACAATAACATTTATTGTTGATTAAGTTGCAAGAGACAGTGCCGAATAGTAAAATAATTTGTTAAAAAGTTAGGTAATATTTATTTTAATTATTAATTTATTTTGTTTATAAATTATCGTTTTCATAAACATGTAAAATACATTAAATTATATTACTTCAATAAAATGGCTTAAGTTTACAAAAACGTTTATAAATATCCTTTCTGTTGTGTTTAGACCTCATGTGTGATACAATTTTGTAATTAGGGTGTTAAATCCTTTTCACATGAATCACATGACCTATGCTGCTATTTAAAAAAATCAAGATGGCGGCAATGCTTACAAATTTGTAATTATAAAAAAAATAATTTTTTTGCTAAAATATGCGCAAATATATTTACTTGAAATTCTGAAATTTTGGGTTTTGTATGTTGAACCGTTTAAGCACTATAGGTTTGGTTTCATCTTTAACAGCTACCCTGTATAAAAAAAAACATTTGTTTACTTTGAACATGCATAATTATTAAAAACACAATTATTGTAAATGAATTGACATTCGCCAGCAGCCTTATCCTCTTGTCTCTTCATGTGCTGGCAACCGAATATGATGTTTCTAATTTTTTGAATGATTTATTTATGGTGCTCCTCATTAATCTGCAAGTATGGCTTTTGCGAAGAGGCCGTTGTGTGTCCAGTAATTTTTATTGCCTCTTGTTCCTAAATTCCTGCTTTTATTAGATGAGATACAACAGTGGAATGGCTAGAATAGTTTGTTATTTCACGGCTATTTACATCTATACTCAAACAAATAATTATTGAGGTTGAATCGTGTTGTCATATCTCAATTTTACCTTACTAGTTTTTAGCAGAATCAAAATAGAGTAAGTAGTAGAGTTGTAAGTTGTGGCAAATTATAGATAATATACAATCATAGTACTAATAAAAGATATTAATTATAACAAAAATCAGTAATGAGTAATACTTATACATTTCTTGATCATTTAAAATTAATTATTTTATGGATTGTTCAGTATTTGTTACAACTAATGGCATGGGTGTACGGAGCGATATTAGTGTCTTTGTCTGTTACGCGTAAAATTCATCTCGTCGATGACGTTCTCAGTAGTGTATTTCTAACCACGAGCGTAACATCGGGTTTTGAATTATACGGTGTAAATTGTAAGTTTTACAGTTAAGTTAGTAAGTAATCGACGTGTTGTAAGAACAATTGGTGAAAATATTAGTGCTAATAAGTGTTTAAACATTAAATAATAATATTTCTACACCGTTCTAAAACTATGCAAAAAATGGAAGACATTGAAGAGCCTTCAACGTCGAAAAAGGTAAAACGGTCGAAGTCTCGGTCGCTAAGTGAAAAACAAATAATTGTACTTCGAGTATTTCACTGTCTTGAAAGAGATCATCAGCGACCAAAAGATAACTTAGTGCATATGTGCTGTAATTCTACACCTCCGAATAACCAACCGGGCGTTCCAACATCATTAACTTCCACAATTACAAAAGATAAATTAGTTGATATGTGCTCTGATTATACGGGTGTACCAAAATCATCAGTTTACAAAATACTAAGAGAAAACAAAATTCATGGGGAAGTACAAACGCCAAAAACTAGTAGCGGAAGAAAAAAAATCACAGTTGATGAAGAAGCCAAAAACAGTTTACGCACAACTATTCACAGTTTCTTTTTCAGAAATGAGCTGCCCACTTTGCAAAAAGTTCTGGAGGCAGTTAGCGATCATGAATTGGTCCCACAAATGAGTAAAGAAACTTTGAGGAAAATTTTACACGAAATGAAATTTACGTACGGAAAAGTCGACAGGAAAAGCATTCTCATTGAACGTCAGGAAATAATAGTATGGAGAAGAAATTATCTCCGAAAAATTGAGGAATTTCGGAATATCAAAAAAAAAAAAAAATTTACTACATGGATGAGAAGTGGGTTAACCAAGGACATACGGTCAAAAAAGTATGGCAGGATGGTCATATAACAAGTGCACGACAAGCCTTTATTGAAGGCTTGTCAACTGGGTTAAAACAGCCGTCTGGAAAAGGAAGTCGTCTGATAGTTACGCATATAGGAAGCGACAGTGGATTTTTACCAAATGGTGAATTAATATTTAAATCCAAGAAAACAGGCGACTATCATGAAGAGATGAATGCGGAGGTGTTTGAAAAATGGTTTGAAGGCATCATTCAACTTGTGGAACCTGGGTCTGTCGTCGTCATGGACAATGCCCCATATCATAGTCGGTATTTAGAATCATTACCGAAACAATCATGGAAAAAACGAGCAATTCAAGAATGGTTAATTAATAAAAACATCCAATATAAAAAAGATAGTTTAAAGGCAGAACTACTTCAGTTAACAAAATTACACAGAGACAAATATAAAAAATTCGCAGTGGATGAAATGGCGTTAAGTCGTGGAATTACAGTATTAAGGTTACCACCGTACCACTGCGAATTAAACTCAATAGAATTAATCTGGGCGCAAGTAAAAGGATATGTGGCACGAGAAAACAGAACATTTAAATTAGTGGACGTGCAACGTTACCTACAAGAAGCCATTCAAAATGTTTCTGCAGAAGACTGGAAGAAATGCATTCAGCATGTTTTAAAAGAAGAGCAAAAAATGTGGGACGTAGACAACCGTATTGAACACAATATTGAACCAATCATAATTAACTTTGATACTTCTGTATGTGTAACCCAAGAAGAAACTTAAGAGACAGTTCCTTACTGACTTCGGCCGCGACATAATATATAAATATACGTTAATTTGTGAAATAAAGTTAAATTCATTATTAAAATAGTAAAATTGATAATATTGTTTCTGTCACCAAACCAACCCCTGATTAGGTATCTTTCTTATTTTTAATTTGAAATATATATTGTGATTTTTATTAACATTCTTAATTTATTTGGTTCCTACTATAATTACCACAATTATTTCTCCGTTTTCATAAAGCCCCACTAATGACTACAACGATTAGGTAAATTACGATATTGCAAAGTTTTCATGAAATAAATAAAAGAAATTGTATGAATATTTTAAATAATTGTACCCTCTCAAAAATAATAAGCCCGCCTCCGATTTGGTCGTATTTTTACCTGCTTTCACTCTCAATCATTATTTGTTTGAGTTTAGTCCGAAATTTTTGGCTGATGACTTCAGCCATTTAGCCATTCCATTTGGTCTAATTGGATAATTTTTATACCATAAATTTTCTGTTTTCCAAAATGAATTTGAGGTGTGAAAAAATCTATCCGTGGTAATATTTTTATCTCGTTTTTCAGTATACAGGGTGTCCCGAAATAAGACGGTCATATTTTAACAGCGTAATCTACATCCTAAAACATGAGTAAAAGTTTATATAAACATAGGACCGAAAACGTTTCATTTTCGAAATACAGGGTGTTAAAAGCGAAGTCCTAATGCCACACTTTTGTAAATATTTTCTAAATGTTTAAAGATAACTAAGTGAAATTTGGTATAAATGCTTACCTTTTTACGCTCTATTTAATGGACTAATCCCAAGTTTTTGATCATCTTCATAGGTGGGTAAATTAGGGAGGGGTTTAGGGTAAAATTGCCCTAAGTTTTTTTTGTTGACAGTTTTTAAGATTTTTGACTATAAAATTTGAAAAACCAATGTTTTCTTTATAATAAATCTACTGTTGTAAAAAACATTTGAAAATTTCAAACCCAGTCACTCGAAAGTGTAAACAATAATTAGTATTGCATGTGGAATCAAAACAGGTGACTAAAGGAAATTTTAGAAAATATTTACAAAAATGTGCCATAAGGACTTCACTTGTAACATCCTGTATCTCGAAAACGAAACGTATTTGGACTTATGTTTATATAAACTTTTACTCCTATTTTAGGATGTAGATTACGCTGTTAAAATATGACCGTTTAATTTCGGGACACCCTGTATTTTTGAAACAGTCTTACCGGGCATGTCTTGGGGTTTTCTTCATTACCGGCATTTTTATTCTAAACAGGGTCGCCTGGAGAGAATGTCTGCATTGCTATGGAGACGGTCTCTACGATGCTCTACTTCTTGATTATTGCTATAAAGCCAGCTCGGTGTGGGTGTTTTTCTTCTTCGAGATGCATAGCAGCTGTGACTATTTCTTGTTGGACTTTGTGACGGGCTTCAGAAGATTGATCTATGTGATTTTTCAGCCTCATTCGCTGATCTTCGATTCATAAAATGAGCCCTGCTTCTACGGGTTCTTTGAAGGTGCCCGATTCTTTCATAATTGAAAC